AGTACTTTGTGTGGATAAAAGCCTATTTTCAGAAGACCAGTTTGGGCAGTGGTCCTTCTTCTTGCAACTGTTTAATAAACCTGTCACCCTGGCCTGCCATCAGTGTCAAAGTGCACACCTACACTTGACATACTTATAAAAATGTGTAACAGAAATTCTTTAAAAATGAAAATTTAAATGAATATAATATCCTTTAGAACTGATCACTGAAAATTTTCAATACAAGTTCATTATAGAATTATAGAAAACTCACAAAAGTGATGATGACAAACAGTAACAAGAAAAGTACTAATATCAGTTTTTATTTTCCTTGAGCTAATCATGTGATACATGTTATTTTGCTTAGTCACAGCAACAATCATTAACAAAAGATATTTTACCACAATTTTACAAAAAATTTTTTGAAAGATATACATAGTATATAGTTAGTAGGCAAGACTCAGAAATTAAATCCAGATCTAATTACAAACCTGAGCTCTTATTTACTAATATACTCAGCCAATGAAAGTAAATTAAAACCACCCGCAATCAAACTAACTAGATACAAGTTCTGCTAAGATTAGTATCATCTCACCAAATGGACTCTGACACTGCAACAATCCCAATGTTCTCCTTTTAAGGCACCAATGTTATGTTTAGTATACTCTTTTAGGTATTTTCAATTATGAATATATATTCATGTATCTACAAAATTTTGCACATCAATTATAAAAGTATAGAAATGTTATGTATAATGTTGATGTGACAAGGAACTCCAGCTGACAAAATACATACATTCCACATAACAAGAACAGTAATGAAAAAATCAGAAGCAAAACATAATGACATATTTAAAATGACCCTAAACTTTTATATATTTTTCTGATCACTTATAGAATACTTTAAGATTTTGTGCTGTTCCTCAGGATTAACATTAAGTAATAATATATCTAATTAACTTTTATGGGCATTTACTATGAGCCAATCATTTTGCTATTTCACATGTATTAATCTGATTTAAGACCATTATCTCCATTTTTTAGGTGAGAAAACCCAGGCTTAGAAAGGTTAAGTGACTTGACTGAAGTCACAAAGCTAATTATTACTATCATAAGCAGAAAAGTTAAGAATAGGATGAATCCATTCTCCTATTTGGGAATTGTATTGAAATGACTAATATCACTTGGTTACCCTGTTCATAAGAGTAGATAATGGCCCTGTCTCATATATACAAACTGAATTTTCTACCTTTTAATCTGAAAGTAGTAAGGGATACTTAGAGAATTTGCAATAAAAGAAGATAAGTGTATTATAGGTCAATGTATTTCTGGACTATATTGTGTTCACTTCAAGAGTTCAGCGATAAATCCTACTTATGACCCGAGATAAATCATTTACATTCTCTAGATCTTAGTGTGCCCACTATCAGACAATTATCTAACACAATTCCCTAAACATCCCTACACTACAGTATAGTTATGTTAATACTATCAATCATCTCCATGGTGGCAGTTATAGAACTGCCTATGCACTGTCTATGTATTGCACACATTTTTTGCATAAATCAAATTTGATTTTGAAATACAGTGAAATTTGAATATAAAATCTAAAGCTGTGCAGATATTCAAATTATTAGATAAATATTTTGGGTCAAGAGCTACTGTGTATCCCAAAGTAGCTGTCCCTAGATTTGCAGACCAAACATCAATGACTTGGTCTGGTTTGATCCACAAACTCCTTTCACATGTAGGACAACAAAGAAACATGAGTACACAGATGTCAGGTGCAGATGGAGAAACTAAGAAAAATATATGTCTGAGACACAGGAGCTTCATTCTTTTAATAAAATATAGGTACCTGAAGGTTTAAGCTTAGATAATACAAAAACACTGCCAATTACTCCCCAGAAGTCAACAGTAGTAAAAGGAATCCCACAGACTTCCAGTGTTTTTTCACTATATCATTTTTTAAGCAGTCTATAGTAGTCCTTTAGCCCAGTTGGTTCTCAAAGTATGGAAGCTCAATCATCAGTTTAGGCATCAGCTGGGAATTTGATAGAAATGTGAATTTTTTACTCTACCTCAGATCTACTCAGAAATTCTAGAAGATGGGCTCAGCAATATGGATTTGGACAAATCCTCTTAGCAATTCTGAAGTATGCTAGAATTTGAGAACCACTGTTCTAACCTTTATTATGCTGCCTCTGAGAAATGCAGTTCCCCAAATTTGCAGGTGATAATAAGTAAAGCAGGTGGACAAAAGATATCAGAACACTAGCCTTAACTGCATTATTATGTATGAATGCACAATAAAATGTTTGTTGTTCTGTTAGAATTGTGTATTTTATGTTAAAATTTTTTAAAGTGTAGATTGATATTTGTTTTCTTTCTACTTCCTGAAGGTTCAATAATTGAATCTATGAAATAAACCAATAGTAGACAGGTTAAAAGGAGAAAAGGCACACAAATACATATACAGGTGCATTACAGGAAAGAAAAGTGAGTCCCTAAATATTCAGAAAGATCTGGAAGATTATACACCCTCCTCACTGAGGAAGTGCAGAGAAAATGTGGGCAATTTAGGGGTAGTGAATGAGTTTTAGAAAAGATGAACAGGACCTCAGGAAGAAAAGGAGACAGCCTATGACAGTCTGGTTGACCATGGTGTTAACCTTTGTTATCTTTTCCTGTGATGTAGTTAATATTTCCTTATTGATGAGATTTGACTAGGAGAGAATTCATGACAATTATCTTTTGGAGAATCTATCTTCAGGCAGATGAGGGAACTTTAGAGAAAGCTCCTTCTTTGTTCTGCTTGCCTGCTTAAGGGACAAAGAAGGGAAAAGCCTGAGGAGGGAAGGTCATAGAGATCTTGGTTCTAAGGATGCTTCTGAAGCCTTCCAATCTTTAGTTCCAAGTGCTCAGCATGCCAATGTACCACAAGTATTTTGGTGTATCCATTTCTAAGACAAAGCAATTTGTTTTATGAGTGTACTCTTTCATTCATTTGTTGTTATATTTTGATAGATACTATGTAGTGCTATCATATTACTATTCTTATCTCAGTAGAAACTTTTCAGAAGGTGTAATTATTAGAAAAGATCAAATCACTATGAAGTTTCTATGCCTTAAATCTATTTCAGAGAGGGAAGATCACATAGCATGGTAATTAACATTTTAGTTATTATTTTAGTATTTCAGTTTCTTCCTGGCTTTCTAAAAATCTTCACTGAGGTTTGGTTTGATTCAATTCTAAATCAGGAAGGAATTCATGCTTGTGGAAAGTATGCATAAACAATTATTTTGGTAAGATTGAGCATAATGATTTAGTATAGACATCCTAACAAATAGCAGCTACTTTGCTTTTATGACAATTACAATAGCTAAATTTGATTCAGGATGTCATACTGGAAATAAAGAAGCAAAAGAATAGGCTCCAATAATTAAAGCCCGGACAGCCAGTCTAACTTGTAAATCTGGAAAAGAAAAGGCTCCCATAGGGCATAAAGATACAGTTCAGTGTAAAGGCCTTGCTGCGTAGCATGTATAAGGCCTTGGTTTTGATCCTCTACATCACAAGAGGAAAAAAGAAAGAAAGAAAGAAAAAAAAAGGCCTCTGGAAAATGTATAGGAATTAATACATTTATTTAACATTAAAATTTGCATGAAGAAATGCAAAGCACAATATCCTATTGCCTAAGAAGTATGACCACACCTCAAAACACGAAAGACTCTCACGTGCTAGAGTGGGAACAGAAAAGTTGGTTACTAACATATAAAACTGCTACTGCTTTAGAAAAGAACAGTCATCTTAAACAGTGGTTTAAATATAGGGTTCAATGCCCTGAGAGTAAAATCTCCAAGGTCTTTCAATATTCAGAACTGATTCATAAAATCAAATGTCTGTTACTTTTTAAAGTTTGGTCCAAGTTTTCTTTTCCTTTTTTTCTGAATATAGGGTTTCACTACGTAGTCCAGGCTGACTTTGAACACACTATGTAACCCAGGCTGGCCTCAAACTCAGCCTTCCAAGTGCTGGGATTACAGGTGTGCACCCCCATGCCTGGCCCCCATGTTTTCTTCCATTAATGTTTGTTTTAATTTGTCCTATCTGACTTCACAGATACACTATCCTGACATCTCATATCAGAACTATTGATAACTTTCCTAGAACTAGGAATTATTTTATTCTACAGATCCCTATGTTGTAAATAGGTAGTGGTTCCATTCATGATGATTTTACACCAATTTTGATGAGAAGTTTTCTAAAAAAAAAGAGGACAAACCGAGTCTTCTAAGGTCTTCTAGTAATGTCTGTGCACTTGACAAGAGTTATAAACATTTCTGACAAGGTTCTATCGACTTTTTTTTTAGAGAATGTAAAAAATGTTGCCAAGCAACACACACCTAAGTCTGAAAAGAACTTAAGCATTGATGATACCTCTGTCTCAGTTTGGCTTCCACACAAGAAGGGTTTCAGTGAAGTCCTATGTGTGTTAACACGCTATTCACAAGAGGAGGTATTTCTAAAAGTGAGTATCCAAAAGAAGTCCAACTCAGGAATTTCTTTCTTTTCTAATTCAAGTTTAGTGCTTCCAACATCATGCCTATATGTAGCTACTCAGAATTCCAACAGGAATTGGGCATATTAGGTCATATGCAAAAGCTCTGGCACTAAATGAACATTCTTATTCATATCTTCAACATACTTGTATCTACATAGCTACAACAAAATTTCTCCAATTACTTCTAATCACAAAAATAATCCTAAAAACTATCTGCCAAAATTAATTCATTCATATTGAATATTATCTTTGAAATTATTTTCAATACTTTCATTATTATATCAATAGTCAAAAAAGAATGTTCAGAAAAAACTATGTACTTTAAAGGAGAATATATAATCGGTTGCAAAAGAAGAAACATGTTTTATGAGTCATATACATGTAAAATACTACTTTGCTGAATGGTCCTGATCCAATCCTCCCTCTTTCAAAGCAGACACTTTGCATGCATGCTTACCAGGGCAGTATGCATCCACGTCCAGTTTCTGAGCTGAAGTAAGTGTTGGGGAGCCAAGCTCGGATTCTGGAATTCGTGGGCTCTCAACAAACTTTGCTTTCCTCAGAGGGGCTGAGAGAGAGAGAGAGAGAGAGAGAGAGAGAGAGAGAGAAAGAGAGGGAGGGAGAGAGGAGAGAGAGAAAACAGAGGAAAAGAGAAGGGGAAAGGGAAAGAGAGAAACACAGAGGGGTCATAAGTAAGGGGAACAGCAGGCAACAGATGGAAGCACTTAAATGAACGACACTCTGTCAGACTCAGATTAGGTTACCCTATTTT